AACTTCATTTTTGTGCAATTTCAAGAAGAGTGGAGGGGGGTTGTGCCCTACAACTTTCAAGAAAAAAGAAATCTTTTAAAATTCAAATTCAAATAAACAAAAATATATTTAAAATTAAGAAATACTTGAAGTAAAAAGTGAGAAAATAAAATAAATTTTAAATTTTAAAACAACTTTTGACTTTTCAACTCCTCAAAAAGTCGAAGATCTTTTATTTAAATAATTATTTTAGTATTTTGGTTCCCACAGAAATGGCCCGCGAACAATCCTGCACTGGCCGCAGCTAAACCCTAAACCCTAAACCCTAAACCCTAAACCCCAAAAGCTAAACCTGAGAAGCACTTCGCAGAGTCATATGTCTTTTCGCCTCTGGCTCTGACAAACGGACCCTGAACCTGCTTTAGGGTTTAGGGTTTAGGGTTTAGGGTTTACGGATTAGTGCTTGAGCGCTTCAGGTTTGCGCTTGAGTGTTTGCGTGTTTTGGAACTAGGGTTTGTGGTTTGGGGGTTTAGGGTTTAGGGTTTAGGGTTTGGCTTGTTTGTCTACGGTTTAGAGTTTGGGGTTTGGCGTCGACAGTTTAGGGCCTAGAATTCATAGTTTAGGGTTTAGGGTTTAGGGTTTAGGGTTTATGGTTTAGTGTTTGATGTCATTGTAGAGTGGCTGCCAGCCTGGGGCTCAAGGCAAAGAAAGGGTTCAGGGTTTAGGTACAAAGCGTATGGGAATCAGAGTTCAGGGTAAAGGATTGGGGTTTCAGGGTTTAGGGTTTAGGGTTTAGGGTTTAGGGTTTAGGGTTTAGGGTCTGGGGCTTGGGCTCCAGGGTTTCACAAGTCTGTAGGGCTGGGCGCTGTAAGTGATCGCTGGTGACCTTCGCGGGCGGGGAGCCTGCAAACCCTAAACCCTAAACCCTAAACCCTAAACCCTAAACCCTAAACCCTAAACCCTATCCCTTAAAACCTGATTAGTGAATTGATCAATTCAGGAACTTTTTTTTGAAGCCCTAAGCCCCAGAGCAGTAAAACTCCAAGCCCTAAACCCTAAGCGCTAAACCCTAAACCCTAAACTCTAAACCCTAAACCCTAAAACCATAACCCCAGCTCTTTTCTTTTATTCTAAAATTAAAAAAAATAATTTAATTTTTATTTTTAAATTTTGTTTTTTTGATTTCAAGGCGAAAACGAGGGGATGAGGGCCAAGGCCGCAGCCGCCAAATGACGCAACCCTAAACCCTAAACCCTAAACCCTAAACCCTAAACCCTAGACCTTGAACCCTCGATTGAAACCCTCAACTTTCCATCCAAGGTTTCAAAGTCAATTTCTCGGGGCCGGGAACGGAGCCCTATCTCCCAGACTGTCGAGCCTAAACCCTAAACCCTAAACCCTAAACCCTAAACCCTAAACCCTCAACGATGGCTGCAGCGGAGAATGAAGCAGAGGTTTTTGTCCTGGGAACTTCACCGCCTGAAGGGCGCAAAGCAACAACAATCAGCAGCAAGAAACGCATGCAGCTTGAGGCGAGCCGCCCAACTAGGGTTTAGGGTTTAGGGTTTAGGGTTTAGGGTTTAGGGTTTAGGGTTTGGAGTTTACGCTTTACGGCCTCACCGCCGAAGGTGCAGCTACAATGCGTGGCTGCTGCTGCACAGCAGGAGCGCAATGGCCTGCAGCAGCAGAAGCAGCAGCAGCAGCTGCTGCTGCTGCCGCCGCTGCTGCTGCCGCTGCTGCTGCTGCCGCTGCTGCTGCTGCCGCTGCTGCTGCTGCTGCTGCAACAGCTGCGCAGGCCCAAAGCTGCTGTTGCAGCAGATGCAGCAGCAGGAGAGCCAGAAGCAACAAAACGAACTGCAGCAGCAGCAGCAATATTCAAAACGACTGCAGCAGCAGCAGCAATATTCAAAACGACTGCAGCAGCAGCCATGGAAAAGCTGCTGCATCTCCTTTTGGACAGTCCATGCAGGGTCTGGACTTTAGGGTTTAGGGTTTAGGGTTTAGGGTTTGGAGTTTAGGGTTTAGGGCTTTTGCGTTGCAGCTTTTAAATGAAATTATGAAGGAACATCCAGATATCAACAAGCTTAGGCAAGGATGCCAAACCCTAGACCCTAAACCCTAAACCCTGAACCCCAAAACGTAAACCCTAAACCCCAAACTCAAACCCTAAACCCCAAACCCTAGCGCTTTCCGAGTATACCATTTCACCCCCTCGTGTTTTCATCTAGGGTTTAGGGTTTAGGGTTTAGGCTTCCTTTCCTAAAGTTTCGACATCTAGGGAGACGCAAGTTTAAAGCCTAAACCCTAAACTCTAAACCCTAAACCCTAAACCCTAAACCCTAAAACAAGGTTTGCCTTCTTCTCAGAATCCTGCAGACATTCGATGTCGACTACAGCGTGAGGGACCCGCAGAGCGGCCTCAGCGTTATGCACCATGGTAAACCCTAAACCCTAAACCCTAAACCCTGAACCCTAAACCCTAAACCCTAAACCCTAAACCCTAAACCCTGAACCCTAAACCCTAAACCCTAGACGCTAGAGGCTGATTGCGGGGCCCTGGCAGTTCCGGACCCGAAGGCGGCATGATTTGGGGTTTAGGGGCGCTGAGGGTTTAGGGTTTAGGCAACTCCAAATGACGCTGTCGAGGGTTTAGGGTTTAGGGTTTGGCCTAAACCCTCATGGGTGGGGCTGCGGCTTGCGGTGTACATACACCGCTATTGCTGCGCAGGCTCACGCCGCTTCATCTCGCCGTCCGCGAAAACGCCGTTGCTGCCGTAAATCCTAAACCCTAAACCCTAAACCCTAAACCCTAAACCCTAGAGTGTGCCAGCGCTGCAGTATAGATCTGTCAGTTTGCTTCCCTTTTCCTGCCACGGGCTCGAACCCTCTCAGTGCAAGCCTTAAACCCTAAACCCTAAACCCTAAACCCTCGAGGGCTTAGAAGCCTCTTGGCCCCTACGCGCGGCGGAACAGCAGGGTTTGGCGGGAGCGCGAGGGTTTAGGGTTTAGGGTTTAGGGTTTGGCGCAGGCGAAGGCGCTGCTGTTCAGCAAAGAAGCCGAGGGTTTAGAGATTGATGTGGATGCTGAGGACTTTGAAAGAAAAACCCCCACGCAAATGGCCAGCAGCAAAACCCTCAGAGACATGCTGCAGCGCTACAAGCAAACGCGGGCCAAAGCCCTCAAAGACGAACCCCAACCCTAAACCCTAAACCCTAAACCCTAAACCCTAGCACTCGCGCCAGTCCGCAGTTGGGCCAATAAAAGGGCTCCGCCCATGCGGGGCCTCTAAGCCTCCGCCAGCAGCTTCCACAGCCACTTTCAGGTGTACAGACACCCCAGAATGAGGTGTACAGACACCCCAGAATGCGGTGTACAGACACCCCAGAATGAGGTGTACAGACACCCCAGAACGAGGTGTACAGACACCCCAAATTGAGGTGTACAGACACCCCAAATTGAGGTGTACAGACACCCCAAATTGAGGTGTGCAGACCCCAGATCGAGGTGTACAGACACCCCAGATTGAGGAGTACAGACGCCCCAGATTGAGGTGTACAGACACCCCAGGACGAGGTGTACAGACACCCCAGACTGAGGTGTACAGAGACCCCGAAGGAGGTGTACAGACACCCAAACTGAGGTGTACAGACACCCCAATTGAAGTGTACAGACACCTCAAGTCAGGTGTACAGACACCCCAGCTGGAGGTCCACCCAGACGGAGGTGTACAGTCGCCCACAATTCAGGTGTACGTACACCCCAGCTGCGGTGTACTCACGTCTCCCGGAACTGAGGTGTACGTACACCCCAGCTCATCTGCACGTACACCTGAGGTGTACGTACACCTGAGGTGTACGTACACCTGAGGTGTACGTACACCTCAGACAGGCTGCAGGCTGGAGGGCCGCGAAGGCCCCGAAGAGCTGCGGAGACACTTCAGTTCGAAAGCGCCAGAGGCTCCACTCCGCTGCACAAGGGGCCCCCAGTTGAGCTGTACGTACACCCCAGCTGCATGCACACCCCAGGTGTATGTACACCCCAGCTGCATGCACACCCCAGGTGTATGTACACCCCAGGTGTATGTACACCCCAGGTGCATGCAGACCCCAGGTGTATGTACACCCCAGGTGCATGCACACCCCAGGTGTATGTACACCCCAGGTGTACATACACCGCAGGTGTATGTAGACCCCAGGTGCATGCAGACCCCAGGTGTGCGTACACCCCAGGTGTACGTACACCCCAGGTGTATGTACACCGCAGGTGCAGCAGCGCGTAGCCCAGCTTCGGGTGTACGTACACCTCAGCGCAGACCGCCAGCGCCGTCTTCCTCGGGCGCGGCTCTTCCAGCTCATTCCCGGCCCAGCTAGCCGCCCACTTGGCTAGCTAGCTAGCTGGCTGGCTGGCTGGCTGGCTAGCTAGCTGGCTAGCTAGCTGGCTAGCTAGCTGGCTAGCTAGCTGGCTAGCTAGCTAGCGAATACAACAAAGACATTCTTGAGACTAAAGGGCCCCTCAGGGACTCTGTACACAAAGGGCAGCTGGACTTGCGGCCTTGGGGCCAGCTAGCTGTGGCTAGCCAGGTTTTCGAGCTAGCTAGCTGCAGCTAGCTAGCTAGCTAGCTAGCTAGCTAGCTAGCTAGCTAACAAGCGAGCTAGCTAGCTGCCTCTCAGTCCAGAATTAATAATCACATGGGGCGGATATGCCGGAAAGGCACACAGCGCCGCTCATTCCACCTGGCTAGCTAGCTAGCTAGCTAGCCAAATGGCAAGCCAGCTAGCTAGCAAGCTAGCTAGCTGGCAAGCTAAACGGCTAGCCAGCCAGCTAGCTAGCTGGCTAGCTAAACGGCTAGCCAGCCAGCTAGCTGGCTGGCTTGCTAAACGGCTAGCCAGCCAGCTAGCTGGCTGGCTAGCTAGTTCGCTAGCTAAATGGCTGGCTAGCTAGCTGGCCAGCTAGCCAGCTAGCTAGCCAGCTAGCTAGCTAGCTAGCCAGCTGGCTAGCTAGCCAGCTAGCTAGCTAGCTAGCTAGTTGATTAGCGCGCGTTCCGAGTCGGCTGCTGCATCTGCGTGTAGGGCCTCGTCCTCGAGGGCCTCAAACGGCTCTGGCTCTGCTGCTGCTGCTGCTGCTGCTGCTGTGAGCTGCTGCTCGCTGCTGCTGCTGCTGTCGCCGCTGCTGCTGCTGTCGCTGCTGCTGCTGCTGGGGTGCCACAGCCACTCTTCTTCGTCTTCAGCAGCAAAGCTGGCAGCAGGGGCCAAGTGAGGGTTTAGGCTGGGGCTTGGGTCAGCTTCTGCTGTTCTTGCTGCTGCTGCTGCTGCTGCTGCTGCTGCTGCTGCCCACTCCCGCGCAATTGCTTCTTCAGTTATGCTGCGGCTGCCGATGAAGGGAGCAGCAGACACGGCAAACTCGACGAACTGTTTGGGCAAAGTGCTCTTCTTGCTGCTGCTGCTGCTGCTGCTGCTGCTGCTGCTGCTGGGGGGGGCTTCGGGCGAGGGGTTCGGCTCTGCTGCTGCTGCAGCAGCAGCGGCGAAAGGCTTTGCTTCTGCTGTTGCTGCTGCTGTTGCTGTTGCTGCTGCACCCTCGCATGCGGCTCTGCAGGACTCGGACCACTGCAGCAGCACAGCAGCAGCAGCAGCATCCGTCGGTGCTGCTGCTGCTGCTGCTGCTGCTGCTGCGTTCTGCGGTGTACGTACACCCGAGGCGCCGCGCGCCCCCTTAGCTCCTCGAGACACAGCTTTTGTCATAGCAGCAACTGCTTCTGCTGCTGCTGCTGCTTCTGCTGCTGCTGGCACGTGGGAAGCAAACAGCTGCTGCAGCTCCCTGTGCTGCTGCAGCACCTCCGCCTGCTGCTGCAGCAGCTCCCCGTGCTGCTGCAGCAGCTGCTCTATGCCCACAGACAGCGAGAGTCCCAAAGCCGCCAGCCGACTGCACGCACACAAACCCTAAACCCTAAACCCTAAACCCTAAACCCTAAAGCCGAGACGCTACTCCGGCAGCAGCAACAGCAGCAGCAGCAAACGAGTCCAGCAGCTTGGGAAACACTGCCGCGCTTAATCTCTTTCAAAGCAGCAGCAGCAGCAGCAGCAGCAGCAAGTCAAGGGCATCATTATCCGCAAAAGCAGCAGCAGCAGCAAGGGCCGCATCATCAGCAGCAACCGCAGCGACAGCCTCAGCAGCAGCAGCAGCAGCAGCAGCAGCAGCAGCAGCAGCAGCAGACCCGTAGATGGCGAGCAGCGGCAGCACCATGCTGACGTGGTAGCCCAAGTGCAGCAGCTGCGAAGCAGCAGCAGCAGCATGTTGTATTGAAAGCTGCAGATCAAAAGCAGCAGCAAGCAGCTGCTTCAGGGACACAAAAAAATCTATAAATTGCTGCTGCTGCTGCTGCTGCTGCTGCTGCTGCTGCTGCGCGAAGGAAGCGCTAGCGCCGCCCCGCGGAGGCAGCTGCTGCTGCTGCTGCTGCTGCTGCTGCTGCTGCTGGCGCGGCAGCAGGTGCGGCTGCTCGTGAGTCAGCAGCGGGCGCGCCTGCTTGATTAGCTGCTGCAGCAGCAGCTGCTGCTGCTGCTGCTGCGGCCCTGCTGTTGAGGGACACAGCAGCAGCAGCCGCAGCAGACGAGCAGCAGCTGCCAATACACCTCGAGCCTTAAAAAAAAAGGGGGCCTTCCGGTGCTGCGCATTTATCTGCAGCAGCAGCAGCAGCAACAGCAGCAGCAGCAGCAGCAGCAGCAAGAATGGGATAAGCGCAGCAGCACCGAAGCAGCAGCTGCAGCAGAAGACTTCCTTCAGCAGCAAAAGACACAGCAGAGAAAGTAAGGCAGCAGCAGCAGCAGCAGCAGCAGCAGCACATGCAGCATCAGCAGCAACAGCAGTGTGAGGGCTTTGTTGCTGCTGCTGCTGCTGCTGCTGCTCACCTTGTACAGCAGCCGCTGCAGCAGCTCAAGTTCAGCAGCAAGCCACAAAGCCATCTTTTCCCTAGTTGAATGGAGGGCTTTTGCTGCTGCTGGGTCTAGGGTAGCAGCAGCAGGTGCTGCTGCTGCTGCTGCAGACATCACTTCTGCTGCAGCAGCAGCAGCTGCTGCTGCTGAAGAGCCGCAACAACGCCCCACCTGCTCAACGGCAGGCGCAGCTGCTGGCGACGCGGTCTCCATTGCCCGCTGCTGCTGCTGCTGCTGCTGCTGCTGCTGCTGCGCTGAAAGGCAGAAGTGCACTCGGTCCCACGCGTGCTTATTTTTGCTGCTGCTGCTGCTGCTGCTGCTGCTGCCTCTGCGTGGCGAAGACAAGCTGTTGAGTCTAGGGTTCGCCGCCGCACCTAAGGTTGCGGCTGCTGCAGTTGCTGCTGCTGCAGTTGCTGCTGCTGCAGTTGCTGCTGCTGCAGTTGCTGCTGCTGCAGCGGCTGCTGCTGCTGCTGTTGCTGCGCCTGTTGCTGCTGCTGCTGGAGGTGGTCGGGGGAGACACCGGGAGTGCCTCCAGGGAGGCGGCAGCGCTCGGTCACTTCAGGCGGCTGCTGCAGCAGCAGCAGCAGTTGCAGCAGCAGCAGCAGCAGCAGGTTTTTTACTCAAAAGAAACTAAATAAAAAGCAACAAAGCAGCAAATAGAAACAGAAATAAAGATAACTGAAGGAGGAGGCTCCAGTGAGCTGCCTGTGCCCCACAGGAGGCCCTCCCCACGGGGCCCCACTCGACCTGCTGCTGCTGCTGCTGCTGCTGCTGCTGCGGCTAGCCATCTAGGAGCAGCAGCAGCAAGAGCTGCCGCTGCGAGAAGCTGTCAAGACATATCTTTTTTTGCTCAGGGCCCCTGCTGCTGCTGCTACTGCTGCTGCTGCTGCTGCTGCTGCATGTGCACTGCAGCATCCCACAGCCGACAGCAGCTAGCGGACCTTGCGGACGCTGCAGCAGCAGCAGTTGCTGCTGCATTCAGCTGCACACCTTCCTGGAGAGGAGCAGCAGCAGCAGCAGCAGCATCGGCAGCAGCAGCAGCGGCAGCAGCAGCCAGCCGGGCAGGGGCTAAGGCCCATACTTGGTAAGATGCTGCAGCCGCGTGCTGCAGCAGCAAGGCGGCTGCTCTGGGCCCCCCACTTTGGAAGGAGCAGCAGCTGTTGCTGCAGCTGCAGCAGCAGCAGCAGCAACAGCAGCAGCAGCAGCAGCAGCAAATGGAGGCCCTTCGGGGTGTCCGTTGCTGCTGCGGTCCCCGTGCCCCGCCGCGCAGCAGCAACCTGCTGCTCCAACCCTAGCAGCAGCAGCAGCAGCAGCAGCAGCTGCAGCAGCAGCAGCAGCAGCAGCAGACGGTTTATATCGTTCGACCTGCCAAGGCACCCCACACGAACTGCATCTGCTGCTGACAGCCGTCGCCTCGATGCCCCTTTAGCTGATGCTGCTGCTGCTGCTGCACTGGAAGCAGCAGCAGCAGAAGAAGACCCCGACAGCAACATGGCTGCCTTCACTGCTTCGCTGCCCTCAACAGCAGCAGCAGCAGCAGCAGCAGCAGCAGCAGCAGCAGCAGATGATAAGGTCAAGATGCCGTATTTGTTTATTGACCCTGGAGGGGAGCGGATCCCCGTGCTGCGGCACTGCAGCATAGACCAAAGTGACGCAGCAGCAGCAGCAGCAGCAGCAGCAGCAGCAGCAACTGCAGCAGCAGCAACAAGTCATGAAGCAGCAGCGCAGCAGGCCTCTGCGGAGGCAGAAGCCGGCTCTGATTTGAGCAAGGGCTTCGCTGGAAGTAGGCAGAAACATTATTGCTGCTGCTGCTGCTGCTGTTGCTGCTGCTGCTGCTGCTGCTGCTGCAGCATGTGTCTGTGTCACCTTTGCATACGCTGCAGCAGTTCGTCGTCTTGCTGCTGCTGCTAGGTGTCGCTTTGGCTGTTGCTTCCCGTCCCTACTACTGCTGCTGCTGCTGCTAACATGTGCAGATTTAGCTGCTGCTGTGCTGCTGCTGCTGCTGCTGCTGCGCTGCTGCTGCTGCGCTGCTGCTGCTGCGCTGCTGCTGCAGTTGGGGTTGAGGACGTGGGCCGTTTTCGCTTATTTTCTCGCGAGCGGCTGCTGCAGCTCTTGCCTGAGGGCTTCGCCGGTAACCCTAAACCCTAAACCCTAAACCCTAAACCCTAAACCCTAATTCATAGGACGCAGTCCAGCTGAGCTGAGACAGAGCCTCTAGGCGCAGCGGCTGCAGCAGAGCCTCTGCCTGCGATTTAAATACTCTCATTTCCCCCGCTGCTGCCGCTGCCGCTGCTGCTGCTGCTGCTGCTGCTGCTGCTGCTGCTGCTGCTGCTGCAGGTGAGATGCACCGCGATCTGCTGCTGATCCCTTCCAGCTCTTCCCCCGTGGGAATGATGCTGCGAAAGACGGCGCTGGAGCTGCTGCTGCAGCTGCAGCACTTTGCTGACGTGCAGGAAGCCCTCTACGGCAGCAGCAGCAGCAGCAGCAGCAGCAGCAGCAGCAAGGCACCGCGGCAGCAGCAGCAGCAAGCTGTGGCCACTGCGCCGGCGGTGGAGAGAGGGTTTTTAATCGACGGCCACAGAGGAGTCGGCAAGGTCAGCAAGCAGCAGCAGCAGCAGCAGCAGCAGCAGCAGCAGCTGCTGCTGCTGCTGCTGCAGCTGCAGCGGTTGTATAGTTAACGGGCGCGGCGCAGCCACCTGCCGCTACAGCAGCAGCAAGATCCGCAGCCGCATCCACAGCAGCAGCAGCAGCAGCAGCAGCAGCACCCACAGACACAGCAGCAGCACCTGCAGCCTCACCCACAGCAACAGCAGCAGCACTCCCAGCAGCAGCAGCAGCAGCACCCCCAGTCCCAGCAGCAGCAGCAGCAGCAGCAGCAGCCCCCCCAGCCCCAGCCCCAGCAGCAGCAGCAGCAGCAGCAGCAGCAGCAGCACCAGCAGCAGCAGCAGCAGCAGCAGCAGCAGCAGCAGCAGCAGCAGCAGCAGCAGCAGGTGGTTGTGCGTGCTGCTGCGTGCAGAGTTACGTGCTGAACTACGTGGCGACTTGGGCGCGGGAAAATGGCTGGCTGCTGCTGTTCGAGCCCTTCCCCAGCAAGTTTGCTGCTGACCCCACAGAGATCAAACGCTCTGCAGCAGGCATCTACATCCAGGTCTGCTGCTGCTGCTGCTGCTGCTGCTGCTGCTGCTGCTGCTGCTGCTGCTGCTGCTGCTGCTGCTGCTGCTGCTGCTGCTG